TGAACTACAGTGCTAACTGGTGAAGCATCATGATTTCAAAATTCTGGATCTTGTTTGCAAATCCTTCCATGGCTCACCACTCTGAACCCCAGAAGCCTCGAAGATACCTGTGTTCCTCTAATGCCAACTTTTAATAATTTTAGATTTTAATAATTTCACTACTGCTGGCAATGTCTTCTGTTGTCTTATACACAAGATCTGGGATAACTTCCCTACAACTCTCTACCTCACTTTCTTCCTCTTAGACATTCCTTCAAACCTACCTCTTTGACAAAGGTTTTGGGCATCTAATATGGCCTGGTGTCATTTCATTATGCTCCCAGAAAATTTTATTACATTACAGGCAATTTATAAATCTAAGTATTTGTTGGTGTTGTGCCCAATCTTATTTTTTAAACCTTTACTAAGATTTAACCTTTACGAAGTGGCCTAGGCCACTTTGTAGGTCATTAAGACGCAACTATATAAATATGTAATGCAGTCACTTGCAGGCCAGACCAAGCAAATGTATTTCAGTGAATGGTAGTGGTGAATCAGTGACTTACTTTGATTATTATTCAGAGCTTATATGCCAATTCTCAAATTACCAGGACTCATACTCTGAACTGATAATGCATCAACCATGCCACTGTACCAATAGAATAACCCAAAACCGAAAAGTCATTCACAAAAATTTTTAGGTCAGCAGAACTTCAATTTATCACAATTTTTTTTTTTACTATTTCATGTCTAAGTTAAATTCTCACTATTCCTTTTCAGTAAGCATTGACTTCAATATGTAGTACTTGCAAATAATTTAATTTTGAGCATCTACATACCTTTGCACGTGGTTCTGTTGCCATGCCAACTGCGTGTAACATTGGTTTAACTGGTGCATAATGATATGTACCTGTGGTGATCCAACATTGCTCGGCATGACACTGTAAGGACCAGTGAGGAATGTCTGCAGGAGACACGAAAGTGCCTATGTGGAAGTAAAAAGCTCATTTATCAGTACACCAAATAATACATAGTTAAATTTCAGCAAAGTATACTTCCTAAAGAAAAACAGGCTTCTGCAATCTAGGCATGTTTGAGACATCTCAAGTTCTATTTGGAGAGCATCTATTTCAAAAAGACACACAACACAAAATCTTCAAAGGAAATCGTCAGGCAAAAAAGATTATAGCATGGAAGAAAATAACTGATAACGGAATGAGAAATTTCAAGTATTTTGCCTATGTGCCTACAAATGCCTCTCTGTTGGTTTAAAAAAATACATTTATCCTAGATTGC